AATGTAAGAAAAAGAACTAGACGACAGAAGCGTGATAAATCAAGAAATCGAACGAATCCGAAATTGGTCGATCAAAGATGTGACATGGTCAATATGGTCGGATTGCAATCAAAATGGAATCGTGGCAAATTATTACAGCCACCCACTTGGTTAATCTTAGCGCGACACTTTGTTTTTTCCTGGGTTAACACTTTTGAAAATTTTTTGGAAAAGACTCCAAATTACTTACATCTAAAAATATTTAGGTGTTTCTGTTATGCTCATAATACCTCAAGGAATCGTGGCAAATTTGACTCTAGCGCCTCAAAATGTATTCTTATTTGAGTACCCTTTTGCGCAAAATGGTACAGGCGTAACAGGCCTCATGATTTAGAGCTTCATTAGATTTTCCCTTCACAAGATGATGTTTTTTAAGAGGAAATCTTTCCATGTTCATCAAATTCTGAAAATCAATTTTTCTGTTGCAATCTATTTTTAAAGATAATTTTTTGGATTTTAATAGGACCTTTTATTTTCACTAATTCTTGTGACTTAAATATTGTTAATTCTGCACAAGTTGCAAACACAAATTTAAAAAATATATATTATGTAATTCAATATAAAATAATTTAAATCATATTAAATTATATAATTATAATTATTAAATAAAATAATTTTTTTAAATATTGAAAACCTCACTTTTCATTTAATAACTTTAATTTTATAATATAATACACAAGACACCCAATTTTGTGGTAATACTCCCAAATTCTACCCTCAAATAGAAGGTAAAAACATATTCATACTTTAAAAAAATATAAGGTTAAATTATTCTTTTAAATTATAAATCAAAACAAATCACTTATTTTTTAACGCATAATATCAATTTTATTTATTAGATAAATATTTTAAAGAAAATTCGATATCACATGTTAAAAAATAGATAATTTATTTCAGTTTATAATTTAAAAAAGATAATTTATCTTTATATTTTTTTAAAAAAATTGATATATCTCTACCATATTTAGGATTAAATTTAAGCGTTCTGTCTAATTTAGAAACCAACGCATGCCCTATAAATATGAAGAGCAGTGCTAGGGGCACTCACCTTCTGCACTCTCCGACCAACACTCCCTCTTTCATTGGGCCACGTAAGGTTTTTAAGCTCTCAAGTGCAACCTCTCGCCGAACTAAAATAACGTGGCCGAATGAAAGGAGGAGTGTTGGCCGGAGAGTGCAGGAGGCGAGTGACCCTAGCACTGCTCAAATATGAAAACATAAAATGATGCAGAACAAAATTCCGGGACACAGCGTGAGCAGCATGCACCTCGCCGTCGCAGACTAGAGAACTTTGCTACATGCCCCCGTCAACTGTACTGTGCAAGCTCCTCTCCAATCAACCGACTGAAATACACCTCAATCTTATGCTAAAAAGAAATACACTTCATTCTTTTTTTATTTTTTAAATATATTAAAATTATTTATATGTATTAATTAAAAAAAACCAATAAAACTCAAATATATCATTCACAAAAAGTGAATAATTTTAACACAAGATCTATACCACTAAGTCAGAGCAAACTATTTCACTTCATTTTATTTTTAATCATGTCTCCTATAATACCTGTATCTTATACACATCTAAAGTTCCTTATCCAGCCAATTAGAGTAAAATTTACCGAGAGTTGATCGGCATAATGACATTAATTGGAGACCCAAAACCAAAAAAAGAAAAAAAAAAGG